TCCTGTCCCGTTTTTGTCCCGTCCCGAAATTTTTTTTTGTCCTATCCCGTCCCGTCTCGAACTCATCGGGACCGAGACGGAACGACCGGGACGGGACAAATTGAACACCCCTAGTTTCACCGGGTTGGGAGAAGGGGAGCCGATCATAATTGCTGATCTAGTATGAAGAGTTTATTTGGATTAGGTAAATAAAACAAAACTTATTTTTCATAAATTATTATTAAAAAATTATTTATAAATTAATTATAAATTATTTCAAACAAGTCCTAAGAAAAGTCTAAACAATTATTAATTTGGTACGGATTGTTAAATTATTTCTACTAATCATTCATCTTTAGAATATAGTCGATTCAAGCCCGCATAGCGTGAGGAAGTGTACCTTTTTCATCCTATAAATTGTGTGGACACGACTTCGTGTTCTCGTTATTCTACGTTATCACAATGTTATCGAAAAAATGAATGAATACTTAAATATCAGTATATTTGGTTGATTCAGACCACTTGACAAGATATGAAATAAATTCAATTATTACCGCTAAGAAATCTATGAAATAATTTGACGTGAAAAGCCATTGATGACTAATTTCAACGCAAGAAAATTGATTAAGAAAATAAATTTAAGACGTGAGGAAAGTGAAAAAAAATGATGACAATGCAGCCACAATCTTAATTCATGTTTTCACAGTTCTAAATGTAAAATTGATTTATAGTTTTGATTCATCTTAAATATAATATCTTATTCATTTTCATCTCCCACATTAAATTTTTTTTAATCCTTAGGCCTTTGTTTATCTGGGTATTTTTATCCTCTTCATATTGACGGTAACAATATTTTTTAAAATAATCACAAATTATCCATGTATTAACTAATAGTTACTGGTCCTATTTATAAGATACTTCCAGTATGTTTCATACAGATGAAATTTTTTTAAAATGCATTAATTTTCTATTAAAATATAACAATTTTTCAACTTTATCCTTATTTAATATCTATATTTTTTAAAAGAAATACTCCCCTAATCCTATTTATAAGTCATTTTCAACATTTTGCACATAGTCCAAGAAAAACCTTAAACTTCATTAACTCTTATTTAAAATTCAATAATTTTTCAACTTTATTCTTATTTAATATACATCATATCTTATATAAACAAAGTCAATATAATAACAAATGAAGGGTAAAATTGTACAACTATACAAAAAAATTTCTCTTAATACCCTATAAATAGGACCAATAAATACCTTCTCTTTTTATCATATAAATAGAACTAGAAGAGTAATTATCTACACTATAATAAATGAAGGACTAAACAGTACATTCATCTTAAAAATTTAATAAAATGACTTATAAATAGGATAAAGAAAAATCTTCTCCCTTTGAATAGGATCATGAAAAATCTTCTCCCTCATCTTCATAAATATAATCAAATGAGTAATTTACATGTATTTCACTCCACAGTTAGTCAATAAAATCGGAATGAATATATTAAAACTTTAAATTGCAAATGAAAATCAATGACATTGCACCAATGAAAAAACAGTCTGATGATGTAATGGAGCGGGATACTGTTCTTCGTCTGATGATATCACAAATTACAAGAGCACTGCCAACAGATAAAAGAGCGATGAACTTGGGAACAAGCTTTAATGAGGGTTGACCTTCCAAATCTAACAAAGCTGCTCCTCCTATTTTTAATATAGGATCTAATTATTAAGTTAATTTTGATCTTAAATATAAGACTCATTTTTTATATTTATCAATTTTTTTCAAATTACTCCTATAAATACTCTCTCAACCATAATAAAGTAGAAGAGGGAGAGGAAGTATTAAGAAAGATAATTATGATGTTTTAAGAAAAATATATCATTTTTCTTATAATTAACTAACTTACTTAACTTTTTTAATCTAATCAAATTAGTTAAATGGATCTTATATTAAAGATTGAAGGAGTATAAAAGAAAACGGGAGCGGGTGAGGACTCCGGATCAATCGCACGTCGGCATCACACTGGATGAGAAGCCTCCAAGAGAGAGAAGGGTTAAAATTAGTAATTACTACATCCGGTTCTTAATATAAAACTTCGTTTGATTTTTATTTTGATTTTAAATATAAGACTACAATTTACCTTGTCTCCCATATTTATGTATTTTTTTTCCTAAAGCAGTCCTTATAGTAATAATAATTATAGCTAATACACTTGATTAGCAAATATATTTTAGGAAAGACAACACATATTTATTACAAATAACTAACTTAACTTATTTTTTAATCTCCTCGAATTAGTCAACAAACTCTTATAATTAAGATCAGACATAATATTAAAAAAAAAAGGTAAACGAAGGAGGGCTTCATCTAATCTAAAGAGCAATTAACAAAATGTTGTCACACACCACACCACAGGGGACGAACATGGGTGATGAGACGAAGGGACGTGGTCGCAACTCCTCAGAACAGCGCAAGGCCCTTTACTTTTGTTCTCCATGCAAAAAATTAAAAGAAAAAAATACAAGTGGCCAATTGAAGCCTGTTTCAAAACTTGCAATTTTTTCATAACTCATGCATTTATTTTATTTTCATAAAATGCGTAATAGATATTTGACATTTTAATCATCATGTGATACATATGAATTCCTCTTCCTTCATTCTAAACAGATGCGGCCTCATCATGTTCAGCATCGTAAAAAGGTTAAATTACCGAACGAATTATTATTATTATTTTTTTTTTCCGGAGGAAGCTTTATTATGATCCTATTCCCCCAATATGATATGGAATTATGTTTACCTTTCCTGCGCTGCCTTTTGCTTGAAAAGACCTTCCCTTCTCATAAAGATGGCCTAAGCATTTTGGTAATACAAATCGTACTGATGCCGTGAAGATGCTCATTTCTTTCGTACGATGACATTGTGATGGTGGGGATGAACACTCAATGGCATTTACGATAATAAAGTGCAGAGGCGAGGGCGTTTTCACTTCGTCTTCTGCGCGCCCATATTCCCCCCACTCTTCCTGGTCTTTACATACTCTGCCTTCGTCTTCACTCTCATCCCTTTCACCTCGCCCAACCATGGAGCTTCAAACTCCGAGCAATAATGGCGGACACGCAGGTTCCTCCAACCCTAACAATGGCGAAGTCGATTCTCTCCCTCATAGTCCTCACGATTCTCAAGGCCTATATGATGACTTCGATAGCACCTGTTCTACTCCTTACGTCAGCGCTCCTTCTAGCCCTGGCCGTCCACCCATTAGCGGCTTTTTTTACAGCGCTCCGGCGAGCCCAATGCACTTCGCGATTACTGCTTCTTCCTTGTCTTCGGCTCACTCTTCTTCCTATGAAAATAGCACCTCTTCTGTGCCTCTGGGTTACGAGTTTGAATTCTCGGCAAGGTTTGGCTCAAACGGGTCGGGTACATGGGGTTCCATGAGCTCGGCGGACGAGTTGTTCCTGAATGGGCAGATCCGACCCATGAAGCTTTCGACCCACTTGGAGCGCCCTCAGGTTCTTGCTCCCTTGCTGGATCTGGAAGGAGAAGAGGACGAAGAAGAGGCAGAGGTTCTCGAGTCGCATGTCAGAGGCAGAGATCTGAGGCTAAGGGATAAGTCTGTGCGCAGAAGAACCAGATCTATGTCGCCTCTTAGAAACACGCCTCCAGAGTGGGCTGAGAATGAGGATGGATCGCTTGAGGATTCAAGGTCAGGGAAACAAACGGACAAAAATGGTGCCCTGGAGATTGAAGAAAACGAAAGGGAGAAGATGGACGGGTTGGGGTCAGAGACTACCCCTTCATCCTCTAGGTCTTCCTCGGCCGGAAGGAGCTCCAAGAGGTGGGTTTTCTTGAAGGATTTTCTTTACAGAAGCAAAAGCGAAGGCAGGAGTAACAACAAGTTCTGGTCCACTATTTCCTTCTCCCCCACGAAAGACAAGAAACCAAACAATCAAAATCAAAACCCATCATCAAAGGACAAGCCGTCTGGTGAAACACAAAAATCGAAAGCAAAGAAGGCGACCGGTAGGCCTACAAATGGAGTTGGAAAGAGGCGAGTGCCTCCATCGCCGCACGAGCTGCATTACAAGGCGCATAGAGCTCAGGCCGCGGAACTTCGGAAGAAGACGTTCTTGCCCTACAGGCAGGGGTTGCTTGGGTGCCTTGGCTTTAGTTCAAAGGGATACGGGGCTATGAATGGCTTCGCTAGAGCGTTGAATCCTGTGTCCTCCAGGTAAATTACATTCATATTCATATTATTCCTTATGGGGCTTTATACAATTGTACAGATCCATTATTATTATCATCGTCATCGTCGTCACCACTTTTAGTTCAATCCCTTCGGGACACGGTTGTAATATTTAGACAGATGTTAGATCAGGCAGCCCAGATACGTACTGATTTCTGAGTCTGCTCTTTCTGGGTTGAGAGGGGTAAATGATATTTCTTCATTCCCCATTATGTATCCTTGTAGGTGCTGAGAAACCATGGGCCATATTGACGTGTACTCGCAGCATTTTACTCTTTTACAGTTGGCTGTGCAGTAACTGTAGCTCACATATATCTATATTATTAACTCTATTTGATAGATCCTGTGTTTAATTTAGAACCCTGTGGATTCTGTTATACCTCTTAATCGCGTCCTCAGTTATTCTTTAATTGAGGTTATGCATGTTGCTTAATATAATTACTAGTATCAGCAATTAAGATGCTTAATTATCAGGTTATTCTCGGTATGTTTGGGTTTTTTCCCCCTTTCGAAGTTGGCAAGTCTTTTTTTGGCGGATAAATGTCGAAAAATGTTTCTTAAACTTTGCGGAATCAACTTGTTAGTTTTTTTTTAGAGGGCAGATAACATTGAAACGAACTGGAACTTTCTCTTCGAAGTTGAAAATCAGTGGCTTGGAATTAATGAAATGCAAACAGGTAAATAATAAAGGGTGGAAAAATCGAAGAGTGGAATGTTTTGCGCATGAGATAACAAGTGGCAAGAGTGGTTGATTGGGTATTTGATTTTGATTAAGCAGACAAAGAGTGGGGGCCATGGAGTGTAGGATATAGATAGATAGAAGGATGGATGGCCATATAATTAAGGCATGATGGGTGACAGATCGCTTTGGATTTTATTAAAAGTAGGCTTTTGCAAACACTATATGCGACGACATGGTGTCCTCCCAGATGTTGACATAAAGTTGGGCTTCAGATTATTTGACATTGACTCGCTTCTTCGTTATTATTATTATTAATATTAGAGCCCATTTAACATGTTTCATCTTCCTGTTTTGGCTTTCCTCCCTTTTCTCGTCTTTTTGCTCCTTCCTGAGTTTCTAGTTTTACCCAATCTGCTTTCTGCTCTCATTCAGTTACACTTTATATTATCCTAAATTAATACACTCAATGTTTTTTTTTTGTGTGTAGTATGATGGCCACCACTCATTATATATATATATTTTTCTGAATCAGACAACTTGAACGTTTGAAACTGAGTTTTTTTTTTGTCCAAGTCAACTACTCTCTCGGTTTTTTATTATAAGAGACATTTGATATTTATGACATGTTTTCATATATAAGAGACATTTAAAAGTTGTTTCTATTTTTTTGTATTGATGTTCTATTTTACTCCTATTTATTTTGTTTCCAACTCATACTTTCTCTCTCTCTCACTTTTTTTTCTTTTAATAATTTAATTATTCTCCCTCATATTCTCTCTCTTTATTAATAGAGGCATTGTTGGAAAAATCATTATACTTTTTACATATTAATAGTGCTTAATTAATTTTAATTGTTTTTTTGATCAACGTAATTTAGTTATTTGTTCCTTGTAATAAGGAACGGAACGGAGGGAGTACCATTTTATGGAAACTAATGGAATTTTACAAGAATTGAGTTTAAACTAGTTACGTTACAGACATGATTCATTTATAGCGCTATCCCCAGCACCTTCAATTCTCATTCCAGGGACCCTACTTTGAGGTGTAACTAGTCGTTGGAAATAGAGTAGTTGGCACCTTGAAGGAGGGTCCTTCTCCTTTGAGGGTGATCGGGCCCTTCAGTTTCCGCATAATCACCTTCAACTCTACCAACGGGCCACAGCGAGCGTTGATAAAAGAAAACTTGTATGGTTAACGTTAAATCTAGGATTCGTTTAACTAATTTTTTTTTTTCATATGGTTAATAAAACAATTGTCTGCGTTGAAAGCCGAAAAAAAAATACTACGAATTTAATAACAGATTTAAGCATATGACAACATATTTAATAATGATCTCACTGATTGCTCTTGCAATTCCCATCCCAACCATTACCTGACTTTGTTTGGCATGTGATACAATATATATTATGGTAAAAAGCCCAAAATATTATAAAACCACCCCTTTAGGCTTTACCCCCGATTGGGGGGAAAACCAAAAAAAAAAAAACCCTCTCCACCCTCCCCGCCAGCGAACATGAAATCGAAGAACACACCCCACGTTACCAGGCGGAAGATGAAAAATAAACTGGGTTCAAGGTCACGTGTCAAATTGAAAAGGAAGAAATACAGAGATAAAGTTTTATAAAAATGGGTCCAAATCGTGTTCTCAAGCTTGTCATTGTGCGAATACAGATCTGGACATCTGCAGAAAGGAGATCGAAAGGAAGACATTCATAGAAAACGGATCTAAAAGGGAGACAATCACGGCTTCGAATGCTCACAGAGATCTGGAGAGAGGGGGACCCAGAGCAAGGCGTTCACAAATGTTGATGGCGAAGGATGAAGACGACGGTAATGGACTGATGCACAAATGAAACAGTCACAATAATCACAAATGGACTTGACATTCGGTAGTACCTGGTTTTCGGCCTTTAAACAGTTTCGCGATCCTAATAATTGAGGGTGTGCTATGTCCCAGAAACCAGAGTCATTTTCATATCAATAAAATCATTCTAATCCAGCCGAAAATCGGTTTCGGAAACGGGCATCCAGAACGTCTTATGACTAATAGCGCGTTTGGATCTACTTTTGTAACTGTTTATATACATAGACTTGCGTTGTATAAATTATGAATGAATTCCTTAAATCTCTCTGCTTGCAAAATTTAAAATTAAACTCTACATAGGAAATATTACCATATTCTCTTCCCTTGCCCTCTATTTTCATATTCCCGTGTTTTAACATATTACGGTGTATTAAAAAAAGTTAAACTTACAGTCATCTGAGGCTAACATACGCGGTAAATGTAGGATAAAATGTGGGTATAGATAAAATTCAAACCCTTATAGTGTATTACGTAAACAGTTAAACTCGCTAGTGCCCCCACCAATTTGACAGTAAAGCTAGCTATACGTGGTTACTTCATTCCATTCATTCATTCATTCATTTATTTATTTTTGAAAAGATGGAGGGTAGGATAAATATCACACCTCAATCCCTAAAGATGCAAGTTCATTTCAATAAAAGATCCCATGCCGGTACCAGTAAGCCCAGAATGGAAAATTGTACAAAATGGCCTCCAATTAAACCTCAAGTCGTCCTGGTAAGTCTCTAATATGATTTCCCATATGGAAGATCTATCTTTTTTGCTTCACTTTCTATAACTCAGCGCATGTTCGCTGCAATTTCGTAGAAATTAGACCAACAAGGCCCCAGGTACTAAGGAACTACAAATAACCTCTATAAGCAGAAACTCAGTCAATAGCTCTTCCAACTTCTGACAGCAGATCAAGCAATAAACTTAGACAAGACGTTCTTCTTGAGAGTGAGCTCATCTGCCTTTGCAGGGCTGACAGACTGCATCAAGAAACCAAGAAAGTTCAAACATGCTTTGAAATTATTACATAAAAAATTAATCACTTCTGATTGTCAGATGCCACTTGATGAAAAAACAGTTACAGTCCAAACTATTTTGAGAGAATAGCATCTAAGTCCTAAAAGAATAAATTAACGACAGTTAAATCCCTAACAATTTTTCTTTTTTGAAAATAAGTCAATTGATACTCTTGAATTTGCATTTGTCTAAATCAATATTTATAACTTACTTTTCAGAAAATTTTGTCTAGGACCTAACTGTAATTAATTAAACAATCCGAGACCTTACTGTCATCCTCCCAACTATGCTCGCCGTCTGAGAATTCGTTGCTGCTTTTTGGAAATAAAATCTATGTCCATTGGTCAAGAAACTTCCCCTGGAGAGAGGGAAGAACTCTATCCAATATGATAAGATGAGACCCGAGCATGCATTCAATGTGTTTAGTGTTAGGCAGAGAGAGAATGAGAGAGTGAGACCTTGTCAAGTATGCGCCCAAGTCTTTGAATCTCCTTTGATGCATAATCCACTCCTTTCTCAATGCAGTTTTTAGCAGCTTTTAAGTAGATGTTGCCATATCTGGGGAAACAAACAAAAGGAAATATTTAGAGGATAAAACAGATATTCAAATTAAAAGAATAGCCAGCCCCCAGTTGAATGCCACAAAGGCTTCACATTCAAAAACAAAATGAATCCAAAATTTTGTAATTGGAATAAATAAGATCATAGGATTGTTCAAATGACCTTGCAGCAGATCCCTTCAGTTTCTTAGCTTCCTCCTCAAGCCGAGAATAAACTTCTTTCTTTTCATCACTAGAAGCACTCACAAAATCTTTCACCAAGCCATCCAGAGTTGGTACTAAACCAGCCTATACCAAGGACAATCCACTATTAGACACAGAATATTATTTCTTGTCTTATCTATTAGTGAGCATATAATGTTCACCAACTTTAGAAGTAAGCTGTCCCTTCCCATCACGGCTGGTACCGCATTTCTCATTGATGAAAGTTACAAAGTCATCCAAATCTCGGCCACCATCATAATCTTCACCAGCTTTATTGTTCCTTGGGAAAAATTTGAGAGTCGGATAACCACTTACACCATACCTGCAATGGATGCATATCCAATAAGGCACATGCTTCTTCGATATGATATAAACCTAGTTTAATTACGAAAAACATTAAATCAGGCCACTGGACTCACTTCTCAGCAATATCTTTGTGTTGGTCAGCATCAATATTTGCTATCACAACATCTTCCTCCGGTTTGAATGCTGTAGCGACTTTTTCATAAGTCTGCAGAAATAGTAAAACAATTTATCACAATCGACCTGGATGTTAACATAAGTAGAATAATCAATAATAATATAGGAATAGAAAATTAGCTTACAGAGGCAAGGGCTTTACAATGACCACACCTGGAACACGTCATTGTGAAATAATATTAAAATAGACATTTTTGAAATTTCAAGAATTCTCACTCAACACAAACAAAAAGATCATCCCAATTCCCAAATATTATCACAGACCATAGCATGTTTATTTTCCTGATTGCATTGATGTGGTCTCATGAAGGAAGACCCTAAACCTATACTTACCATGGAGCATAGAACTCAACCAGAACGTCTTTTGTTTCATCCAAGACAACCTGATCAAAGTTATCTGGAGTGAGAACCACCACACTGGATGGAACAGAAGCTATCTTCACATTGGTTCCTGCATTAATCGTTGAGCATGTCAGAAGATAAGTTGAAAAAAGCAGGATATGTCATGCAGAAGAATGATCATTACAATAACAACAAAGTATTATCCTACTAAGTACGGTTGCCTAATAACAATAATCATTGAAAAAAGAGGTCATAGGTAGATACATAGTCCATATTAAAGGGAGACAAAATTCAAGACAAGAGTTGATGGTAATTACATTTCAATTTAAAAAATCAATTCCAAGCAACTAGTTGTGCTTGAACACAATAAATTAAGTCTCTTTCTAAGTAGTTACAAAAGACAAACATTAGCATGTAAGTCCAACATGCAAAAGATTGGGGGATTAGTAATACACTCAATGTCTCCTCACCTATTAACTAGGCAATTATTTCGAATTAGGTAAAAGATTCAACGAGAATTCATTAATGGAATGCATAACTAGCATGCAGAATAACAACCACGTCTTCAAGTACACATGAAATCAAGCGTAAAAGCCATGAAACATAAAAGATACACATCCTACAACAGCATTGTTCAACAAACTGGAAGACATATTTTACATGAATACCTCCTTCTTTGTTTACAAACTCAGCAAGGGCTTCTGCAGTACGTGCCCCATCATACCTAAATCACAGAGAATTTGATAGCGTGGATAATCAATTCTATTAAGAGTTTCAAGTTCTGGAGACGTAAGTTGATGAAATTCAAAGAATAGGTGAAAAAGCAATTTAACATTATTTCATATTTCATAATGAAAAAAGTTGGAGGTGACAAAAATGGCCAAGCACTCACTTCTTTGGTTCCAAAGACCCCTTAGGAAACCATTGAATAGTGGGATAACCAGAGACACCATATTTGCTGCAAAGGCTTTTTTGATCATCACAGTCTACCTGCAGTAGGAGGCATCAATGGCTGAGCAGTGAAATCCCATTCAAACGAGAAAAGATGGGTAGCATAAGATCTATGGACATCACTGACCTTCCCAATCAAAACGGACTTGGCTTTTTTAAAACTTGCTCCCAGTTTTTCATACTCTGGTGCGAGCCTTTTACAGTGTCCACACCTGTGGGAAAATGTTATAAGCATAGTTTCCATAACACCCTAAGGTCAACATGGGGATTACATCCATGAAAAGCATGGTTACAAATGGTTCCTTGAGAGAAGGGGGGAAAACTGTCTCTTTTGGCCTTTATAAGAATGCCCGACGAGTTATATTTTACAACTGACAAAGACGAAATTAAAGTTTCTATGTTTGAGAATCAGCACAAAGCAAATGCATAGGATGCCAAGAAATCTGAAATCAATTGATAGTACATTTATGGTCCAAAACGAGAAAGATGAAATTCGTACGCCCCCCTCCCCAGGGGTCAGGCTCGCATAACAGGAAGAATTAGCAAGGCAAGGATTTATATTGATGCAAAGAGCTAAAATGATCAACAATTCGTTCCTATTATGATCACATAAATACCATGTTGTGCAATAAGAATCATAGAAAGTTGCATTATTCTAGGATATAACTCCAAGACTAATTAATCAACTACTTGACCGCATTAAACAATTACGTAGAGATCAAAGTTCACTACTTGTGATTCGAACAAACTCAATCTTATTAGCTACAGATCCCCTGAGACATAAGTGCGACCCACAACAAATCAAATTCTAAATCTATCAGCTCAGCATCAATACGTTAATAAAAGAAAATAAAAAAAATGCATCCTCGATGATATTCAGGGGAATAGGATGAAAAAACGGAAATAAAATAAGTTACAGAAACAAAAACAGCAATTTAGACATAACTGAAGCTGAGCTCAATATATTGAGAGAGATATATGCATACCAGGGAGCATAGAACTCGACAAGAGCGCTGCGATCTTGGCCAACTTCTTGATCGAAGTTGGACTCCGTCAGCACGACCACATCGTCGGCCGAAACCGATGAGACAAATACAAGAGCTAGCGCCCCCAGAGCAAACCAAATGCTGAAGCTCGACATCATTACCTGCTCCGTCTGCGATGAACGCAAGCGTGATCTATTCTTTATGCCACTCGGTCTTGTGTTTTAGGCCTGGCTCAGTTCTTATGTTTCCATTTTATACTATTTATTAAAAAAAAATTATTGCCGAATGACGTAACGTAGAAGGACATACACAACGCACCTACTCTTTCATTTCAGCGTCAAAATACGAAGCATGATGTGGTTCCAAAAAAGAAAAACGAAGACTATATAGCATGAATCAAACCGTTTATGAGCCAGAAAGAAATGAAAATTATAATGAGTAGGTAAAAAATCTGATTCGCAACCGAAGAAATTAGGCTATTACTTATTTCTCGGAGGCTTTTTGGTTCTGGACAACAGAAATTTCTCAATAGTTAATAAACGATTGAACAGGGGCCTTGCGAGAAGCCAATTCGCGACGTCTGGCACCCGAAACGAGAATCATACCAGGAGACCAAACGCTCTGATTCCACTTTCCTTTATTTGCCCTTGCAAAGATCGAGCATGTCACCCGATCATATATCATATCAGTAATATTTGCATAATTATCTTTATAATATACATATCTTTATTTATATTATAATTTTTATAAATACCAAATAAGAAATGTCAACAAAATTTTGTTGTTCAATAGCAAATAAAATTGTGTTACCAAATCTGATTTGGGATTTATAATTTCCAGCTTCTTATTTTGTCACTCTCTCTCTCTCTCTTTTTTAATTCTAGCTCAGACAGCTACAACTGCTCCGGGTTAATTATGAATGGCGTATAATGAATTACGGTAATTTTAGTTACTGAGGCTTGCGGGAGAAACAAAAACTACTGGAAGGCGCATCGTAAGGAAGTACTCCAACAGCAAAATTGCATCCACCCATGTTGATTAATTCTCTCTGATTTTGAAGGATATTTTCAATTCAAAAAAAGAATGAGATAGCATCTAGTTTTTTTATGTGCGGATTCTACTAATTCTTAAATTTGCCCCTAGTCTCTTCTTGTAGTAACCCTTAAAACGAATTATTATAATTTGCTAAAATCGGCTCGTAATGTTCTAATTTCTAAATTATAAATGTCTAAATGCCCATATTCAAATAGTATTTATTTATTTTGTTTCCCGGGGGGGGGGGGGGGAATAGTGCCAGAGAAAAGTAAAACCGCAACGCCCCTCCTATGAAGCCGTGGCAAGCTACCAGGCAGCCATCCGCAGCTGACTGCAAAACACAACGAGTATGAGTTCATCAAGAGGCTTGATGGGTCCCGCGCATTCTCTCATGAATCACAATATCTATCATAGAGGTGGTCTTTGTCTCTTTTCTATTTTTCATCAAAGATAAAAATGTGTACGACACTGCAATTCCTTTTCGCAATAGTAATTCCGTTGGAATGACACCTCCAACTCACTACATCAGAATACAAGCAATAGAGATAAGATGCCAAGCCCTCCCGATCTGACCGTAGTGGACGGACTCATTTGATGTACTGAGAAAGCCACTTGAAGCCATCCCCGTAACCCATTTTCCTCACAATACTGCACATGAAAACCTCCATGGGTCGCACGTTTGAGTCCGCCAAGCTAACCTTACCCTTGCCGGTGGTGAAGTTGGACAGCCCTAAGTGGTAACGCAATTCATCTTCTGAGGCAGCATATGGTATATCAATCTTGTTCCCAAGAATAAGGAATGGCACAGTCACCAATGCCTCGTCCGACAGCAGAGCATCCAATTCTTTCTTTGACTCGGCAAATCTTTCCTTGTCATACGCATCCACCAAATACACCACCGCATCTACCTATAACATCAGACAAGGATCCCACTTGTGGCTATCATTCAACTCATAACAAGCAATACTAATGAGAAAGAAAGCAAAAAGGTTACGCTATTAAGCAAAGTTTCAGGAGATAACTAAGTAAAGAAACATCCAGGTAATCACAGAGACTGATGAATGATGTCTGCCTCCCATGAATCATTATCAGAGAAACATGACATTTATTTAGCCAGGCCAATGGGGCTAAAAGGGTGCTTTACCTTCAGTAGAGTAAGACAAATCAGAGAATCCATGAAAAAATGTAAAACAAAAATATGTCTTTTATCATGTTCATAGCAGGTCTTTTAAACCTGAAAAATGCCATCAGCAAACGAAAACATATTATGTCTCCCTCCCATGGACCAGATAGATACAGAATGTTCACACAATGTTTAGCTAGGACTCAAAAGACAGGGTTTCTGATCTGCATTGAACTATTTAAATAGATGTCATTTTTACGTTTTACAACAAAATTTATAACATATAGCTTAATTTTAAACTTGGTGACTCCAATATTGAACATGGGAAGACTTTATCCCTAGCAAACATGTCGACCTAAAAGCTTGCAAATTCAGAGTATAGCATGTGGACCAGCTATATATTTGCCTATCTGCGATAAGTAGTGAGAGCGACTACAAATTCAAGAAATGTTATCATGCGGGCCAGAAGTACGGTACATCAAAGCCTTTTTATTTGGGTCAGACATTCAAAGCCTTGGGTTAGTAATACTTTTACACTAAGGCATTATATTTATGCACCTTGGCATAGTAATCTTTCCAAACTCTTCGAGCAATTTGGTGACCCCCAAGATCAAAAGCTTTGAACTTGATTTTCCCAATACTCAACTCTTCTGATGTGGGATACTGTGTTGGCTGATGCTGGACTAATCTCTGCCACAAAAATTCTCATCATAAAGATGTTATGCCAAGACATATCAATAGCTAGAAGACAGACACAGAACGATTTGCATGATGTCATAATGAAGACAACGCAAAAATATTTCAACGCATAACATAAAGGTACTAGTCATGAACCATGGTAATGTGAAGAAGCTACCAGCTTGAAATAAAAGCACGGCAACGTTTCCAACCTTTTGGGCAAATAAAAAATGTTTATTTGATAACTACAACGCGTATCTATCAAAAACTGAACCAAATGTTCCCAGTGGTATAATTCAGAATGGCAAATCTTTTTCCCATAAACCGAAGGGTAGAATTGAATCTGCAGCCTGTGACAGCTTCAATCGTTATTTTGAAGCATTGGGTCTCTAGTTAATGTAATCATGGAGAAAATATAATATACCAATGGGATTAAATGCCACTAACAGATAATATTGTCACGAGTTCTTTTGGGAAAAATTATCGCTATGTGGGACTAGGGTATTCTACGGAGTTAAAAGACAATGACAATTCCATCTTCAAAACTTAATGTCTTCTGGAGGCTTTCCTGAACAGAGCATTTCCCAACCAAAACCCTGACTACGGAAGCTCTTAAATATATGAAGCGCGGCGTTATTATTTTACAGAAAACATGTTATAGGGACAAAATTCGAGCATGGCATATAATCTGCTAGGACTGCTACCTCTTTCGTCTCCACCTTGACAGACTGAATACCATCTCCATAGAAAAAGGAAAAAAGAAAGCAAGAAAGAAAAAGACTCAGCCCTAATCCCTATTAACGATTAAAACATAAAATAACGGCAGCGATTTTAGAAGTCGAAGGCAGGGATTGAACGGAAAAACAAATAAACAAACCTCGTCTTTGAGCATATGAAGTAATGTGGTTTTGCCTGCATTGTCGAGGCCCAAGAATAAGATCTTGGCCTCCTTTTGCCACAATCCAAGCGATGCTAGAATGTCGTAAAACCAATCGAAAATAAACATTGCCTTTATCTGTTTATTGAATCAATCTCGCTACAACGCAACCTCGATAAATATCCCTGCCTGATGGCTAAATCAAAAGGTATTCATAAAGGAAACAAGATCTAACCTCAAAACAGAGTCAAGATAGAGATGTTACACTAGAGTGCGTTTGTTGAAGCAAACTAGCACCTGTTCAATTCAGATCCTTAATTATAAAATCCTGACTGTCCATGCATGAATGGACCAGTTTTTATTTTCAAAATGTTTAATAAGAAATTATAAAATCAATATAAATAATCAATCCAAAGGCCAATTCTTCAAATTGATGTGGAAAATGCATGTATATCACAAAAGAAAAAGTTACAACATTACAACCAAAAACGGCAGACATAATTCATAAACAATATCTTCATTTTTAGAGTTTGCATGATGCAAGATTATTTATATAATTAATGATTAAAAGTTAATATATTATATAAAAGTTAAATGAGAGAGTAAAACAAATCATTTATTTTCGAATCCTATTGAGAGAGATACTCATATTTCGTGTCTAACAATATTTTAAATAAAATTGCTTTTAATAGAAGAATACTTATATTTTTAAAAAAAACCCATTTATTATTTTTATATTTGCATATTTAAGTTAAAATAAACATTTAGATGCAAATACGTATTCGCATGGTAAGTGCAATTGAAATGTTTATGTAATTTTAATAGAAATAATCCGATTAATCTAGACAAGAAAAGTATCCGAACTGTTCATGTGACTTCGTAAAATATCATAAGCTGCCAACACCCATATCCTAACTCGCTCCATTTTTTCCCATTGCTCAGCCCACTGGGTTGAAAGAACAAGAGCCAGCCCGCCAACAGGTTTCAGACAAATATGAAAACGGGAATCACCCTTTTAAATTGCACTCCTCAGTCCTCAAAGGTCTCCGTTCTCAACAATCATATCAAAACGAAGGAATGGCAGAAAAGGAACGTCGAATCCTGGTGGCCGTGGACGAAGGAGAGGAGAGCATGTACGCCCTCTCCTGGTGCCTCCACAATCTCGTTTTCCCAAATTCCAACGACACACTCATTCTCCTCCACTGCAAGCCCTCTCGTCTTGTTTATCCAGCCTTAGATGGCACCGGTTTGTATTTATAAAATTGCTCCTATGCCTCGTCTCTGCCGACTTCTCATTTCTCTTGTATCACATGCAGTCAGATCTTTATCCTCTGGTATTATTGTTAGGATATTTGTTCTCTTCTGATATAACGGCGACGGTGGAGAGGTACAGCGACCGAGTGGCGGACGGCGTCTTGGAGAAAGCTCAGAAACTGTGCATTAATCTGCAACAGGTGCGTTTTAGCTTTGATTTTTGTTGTGGTTAGCGATAGAGGTGGGAATGGGAAGAATGTATAATGGTGAATGAAATAGGTGAAGGTGGAGACGAGAGTGGAGAAAGGGGACCCGAGGGATCTGATCTGTGAGATGGCGGAGAAGTTGGGAGCGGATGTGCTGGTGATGGGAAGCCATGGGTACGGCCTCATCAAGAGGGCTCTCCTTGGGAGTGTTAGCAGCCATTGCGCTCAGAACGTGAAGTGCCCAGTGCTCATTGTGAAGAAGCCCAAAACTTCGCCTCCTCCTTCCCACCCCTGATTCACTCGAGATTCCTTCCTTCCCCTTTCTTTTGCGTGCCCTGTTTTTGTGCTGTTCTGTTCTCCAGTATAATTTCACATTTTTGATTTTAAAGTCCACCGTACCAGTTGTGACTATATGTCGGGAATGTTTTGTGATTTTAACAATGATATTACGAAAATTGTTTTTGTTCCGTCCAAACACTCACTGAGTCATGAGAATGTTGTGCTCAGCTAATCATCAACTTTGCGTCGGAGGGACGCGCAGGAGATGATGACCCCTCGGATACTTTCCTTTTCTTTTTCTTGTTGGTAATAGGATACTTTCCTTTTCTGATTACTCATAACTACCGCATTAAATTTCTGCATGATGTTTCTATCCTCCTGTCACCCGTGATGGCCCGCTAGCATCCCTTTTTGTCAGCCAAATCGACATATTAACAGCTTAGACAGCAATCCGCACATTGTGATGACGTTGCCGTTAGGAATTCACAGCCATGTTTCCCCGCACGGCAGACGGCGAAGGGTTGTCTGTCATGACAGATTATAAACTGACGGAGACGAATGTATTGATCCAGTGTTTCTTCCCCTTCCAAGCGTCCACACCTCATAGGATGGAAATATGCATAAGAGGCCGAACTCAGCGTTAATGCTACCAAGTTGCTATTAACTTGTTTTTTTTTTTTTTTTTTGGGGAAAAGAAAACGTGATTTGTAGATGCATACTCCCATTAGACTAGATTTTTTAAACATTAACAACAATGCTGCGCGTCGAGTTTTTCCGTGCAAGTCCTCTAAGATTTTACAAGTTTTTTGGCAGATGAAATTAACGGTTTCTAATATACTGCCTCCGGTCCTTAATATAAGATCCTGTTTGATTGTTATTTTGATCCTAAATATAAAACTCTAATCCACTTTATCTTTCATATTTATATATTTTTTTCCCAAAATAACTTTTATAATAATGATAGTTCTAATCAATACACTTGGTTAGCAATGATATTTTAGGAAGAAAACACCTATTTAGAACAAAGAATTAACTCAACTTACTTCTTTAGTCTCTTTAAATTAGTAAACTAGCTCTTATAATTAAGACTGAAGATAGTATATTTTTTTTCCCCAACAATTGTTCCTACACTATTACTGATACGATCTAAAATTATTTTTTTTGAGTGAAAGAAGTTTTATTACTCAAAATAGTGTACACAGGGAAACAAAGATTGACAATAAGAAATTAAGGCTAAGGGACACGAAGCCCAGAGTTAAGCCAAATTGGAGTATCATGTGGGTTTTTCTAGCACGTTTGGCGTGCTCACTAAGGGCAAGCACCTTGGTGTGCTCACTAGGAGCAAGCACCTCATTGACAAGACGATAAGCTTGCACGTCCTCATTACAGAACAACTTATGGTTCCTCATTTCCCAAACCAAACAAATACGATATAAAATCATTCGTATTTCAGAAAATATAAATATGAAATTCATACAATATTAAGGTGTTTAGAGATCAAGAAAAGTACTTGTTAAAAACAAACAAATCTTTTTACATACTTACATCGTATATTATAAAATTACTTTTAAAGTCATGATTTTGATCTTATCAAAATACCCTCTAAATCAATTCAGCTAATCAAATTATCATTTGCAAGAAAATGTTAAAAGATATGGCCTTAGCTCTTAGTTGAGCGCGCAGGCATGGTGTGAAGTATCGTACGCGACTAGATTTGTCTCAACAGCAGAAACTCAAGATTTTATTCTCAACTTCCAATCGACAGCCAGCTAAAGATTATCGAAGAAATCAATTAAACCTCAAAGATAGCCATTTTAACCCTGTTCTAATAAGCTGACATAGTTAAACAGGATTGAAGATAAACCTCGACCCTTTTTTGTTTACAAGTTGCGGCGTTCTAAGGATTGTCCCAAAAACAGAAATTCCTACCATTAGAATCGATATGGGGAAAAAATAAAAAGATGATAATGAAGCACTCAAGCCCTATCCTGCGAATATCAGTCACTTGCAAACTCCTTAAAGCTCATCCTGCAACCACAGCCCCGAAGAGAACTTATTAAATAAAGGCAGTAAAGCACGTTATAGATGACCCATTTAGCCGAAAAAAACCTACATGTGCATCCTCCTTCTTAGTTTCGGCATCTTCGCCAGCGTCCGTATCATCCGCTGCTTCATCAGCATCAGCATCCTCTTCATCCTCAGCCTACAAAGGATATGACAAATTCATCAGGACCAACATAAGTGCTGAAGGATTACAAATTTGAAAACCAAATCATAGGCTTACATCAGAATCGACTGGATCATCCTTTGATTCCTGGTTCAACATTCAAAAAACAGGACAGTTATGTGAAACAGTGTTCACAATCTTCCACATTAAGATCAATTTCAACAGTCACAAATTTTCTCATTTGTAGTTCCTTATAAAATTGAAAAATAGAGGTGAAACAATTACCTCTTCCTCTCTCTTCTTTTCATCCTCTTCAAATGCCGCCTTCTCAGCCTGCAGAAGAAAAATCAGGTGTCAAAAAGACTCAACAATAAATTCTTCCTAGATCATGAAGATTGAGTTAAAACTGCTCACATCTTTCTGCTTGCCCCATGTTTCTTCAGCCAATTGTTTAGCATATTCCGGATCATCAGTAATCAAGACATTGTCAAACATTGTACCAGATTTCACCTGACAATAGAACCAGCTCGTGTATCAGAGATTGGCCTTGACATAACTAATGCCAACAAAGTAAACAAAATTTTACTCAGAAAATGAAGATAAGAAATTACCTGCCACAATTCAATGCCAACATACTTCAAGTTGGGGAAAACATAGAGCTCAGGATCGTCATTGAAATCTGATAAAATGTGAATTTTCACGTGTGACTACTTACTACTTACTGTGACCTCAAATCCACCACTGAATTATAAAAGTTTGCAACGTATCTTATGCCACCAATTAGTTTCTGTAGCCATAACGACAACAAAGGAATGATAAAAACAGACCTGGGTTGTCGATCATTGGAGCCTTCCACTTTCCTTTGTAATTGGGGTTCTTAATTTTCTGCAGAGTTGTAGGTGCAAGATCAGCAAACATGTCCAATCCTGTGCAAACTAGATATATCAAAATGACAACAAACCTTCGGCTTCCATGGGCCCTTGTACTCAGGGTTCGCAATGGTTGGTGGTGTCCACTCGCCATCTTCCTCATCATCCCAGTCCTCGGGCTAAAACAACAGGTAGTGTTATGAGTAACAACACCAAGTAAGATATAAAACAGTAGCAAACAACATAGATAAGGACCTTCTTGGCATCAGGATCTGGAATCTCTTTTGGGATGTCATCATACCCCTACAAGCATAGGAAGTCAGCATATACAACAATAGCAAACGTCAGAAAATATCATAAGCTTCACGAGAATGTACAACCTCTGGCTTCTTATCCTCAGGATCAGGAATGTACTCTTTGTCATCCCAATCTTCTGGCTGCAGGAGTATTACAATAAAGAATTTTCAACACCTCAAGACCAATCAACAAATTGTAAGTGAAACAGTAAACTAAGGGGTGGAAACAAAGTTACTTTTTTGGCAGAAGGATCCTTGATTTTCTTGGGAGGGAGAAGATCCCAATCAGAATAAAGACTGCCAGTTTGTTTCTCCACATTATCAATAAGGATGCTATAGGTTGCATCTGGACGGAGGACAAATGTGTATACGTGAGTTAGTTGGTCAGTCTCACATGGTACATCCTTCTTTATCAAGTGGTTTGTGCCATTGTACGTTAAAATTGCATGCACTTTCTTGGTGCTGTAACCACAGATATCTGGACCAAACATAATACTGCATTGAAAAAATGTAAGCAGTCAAATCAGCTGAGTCAGTGAATGAGTAAAGAACATGCTACAGGAGATTTATCAATTACCTGTATGGAGTTTCCCCACCAAATTTCTTCTGATCAATTTCCCCGCTAAGTAATTTCATGTAACCACCACCACAGTCAAGCTTCTGCTCGTGCTTAACAGAAAATTGGAAGACCAGTGTCTTATCCTTATTGCTGAATTCAGGGAACTGAGCAGAAATCGCATAAAATCTGTAGTCTTCGCTTGTCTGGATACCTATGGAGAAATTAAAGCACAAGTCAATAATAATCTCACTCTAGTCTGTGAATCAATGATTGTTCTAATGAAAAATTTTATGCACCATAATTGATTTACATAGATAATCTAGTTTACCTTTGTCATCAGGATCACCATTCCATTTACCAGAGGTGTAGTTCCACTCCCCAGCCAAGTTCTCATCTTTCTTCCAATCAGATTTTACCCAGCGATTTTCCCATCCACCTATAACAATCACCCGTTAGCATATACGAATAAAGCACATAGAAGTTAGAAAACAGGATATATTGTTAACCAAATATGAAAAAACAAGAACAAGAACAAGAAAGGCTAATAAACAGGAAAAAGAAGACTACAGATGAACCATTAATAGGAGCTGTACTTAATGGCGTGCGAATTTCATTGTCCATTCGTCATTATATACATTGAAATAGAGGAAAAACAAAACAATGTGACCACCAGTCGGTTTAAGAAATAATCTCCTTATGGAGGCACGAGCCTCCCATTTACATTTAATCTTTGCAGAAGACTCTACCGTCACTTACCCATACAACGATGTTATATACTACGTAAACAATGTTCAACCTCCCACCTCAAAGTAACATAAGTCGAGCGAGACGCAATTCAACTTCGAAGTGGTTAAAAGACCGGGGGCAAATCTAGTTAAGAATCGACAAACAACTTTCAACCCCGGTACCCTGATGAAATGCGCATGTAACCGGAAGGAGTACCGAGATAAAAAATCCAGGCGGCAGTGCCCTCAAGAGCTGTCAATTCCCTATGAAGTGATGCTAGGGATAATGCTTCAGTACAATTTTAGAAACACTTCCCACGAACATATGAATTTTATGTTAAAATCACATCAGTATAAATACCGAGTTCTTTAGACAAGGACCACAGAAAAGAACTTCAGATTGCGTACCAACGAAAAGCCGACTAAAATAAGAGCCAAAACAGTCAAGATCACAATAGATCTACACCAAACCACCACATTTCCAGATAAACTTCAATGTCCAATCAAGCACAGACCAAAGGCGTCAGACAGATCGCCGCGCAAACGAATTAAAGTATTGATCAGTGACAGAATAACCAAAGCTGACAATTACGAAATCCAATAAAAAATTCTAAAATCCTTAATTTCCTGGAAACACGGGGGAAAATCAAATTACATTCCACGATCTGCTGGGGAGCAAAGGAAAAGACACTAGAATATTCGAGTGCAAATGTTATCATTACCATCAAAACGCTCCTCAAAAAAGACCTTCGCGGAAGCGATCGCCAGCAAAGAAAGAAAAAGGAGAAACTGCAGATTAGGGTTCCGCGCTCGGAGCGCCATGGCTACCGAATTATGAAATCTCCCAGAGACAGAAGCACTGAGTTGGAGTGTGCTCCCGAAACTACAAAGTGCTCCTTTTATTTTTTTCGGCCGAGTTTGAGGTGGACTATGCGGGCCGGATTGGACCAATCTTGATGAGCCACGTATCAGAGAATTGTCATTGGGACGATGTGGCAAACTATTATTGGTTAACTAAGTCTTCAGAATTATGCGGGACACGTAGGCATGAATGTAATCCTTTTTGAAGGTGTGCCCGAGGGTCGCGTTTGGTACTTGTTAACCTTTTTTAGCCAAGGCATTTTTATATCCAAAAATCCAACCCAAATATATTATATATTCAACAGTAATTGTTTTTTAACGAGAATGAAACGTTAAAATTTAAGCATAATTCATTTAGCATTGGCTGTTTAGAGAAAAATGAACGATACATCTGCGTCGCATCAAACAAAATTCCTATAGATACAATGTACTACCTCCTATCCTTAATATAAGAACTAATTTAGTTTTAAATATAGAATTCTATTTACTTTATCTTTTATATTTATTTATTTATTTTAAATATTCTTATAGAGTTATAGATGATAGTAAGGATATTTTATAAAAAGCAACATTTAATTATTACAAAGAACTAATTCAACAAATTTTTTTAATCTATTCAAATTAGTCAATTAATTTTTATATTAAATACTAAAGATAGTATTTAAAAATTTAACCGGCCATCACCGAAAATAAATAAATCGCTTCAGATTTTTCATGATGAGCAGTAGAGTTTAGATCTCACGGCAAAAAAAGAGTTTAAATTCATAATAAAATATGTTATTTCATAAATAATATAATTATTATGTTAATTTTTAAAAGTTGTTTACACGAAAAGATATTTATATCGTGGGAAAAAAATGCGATGACTCAAATATAATTTTTACATTGAATTTAGACAGGTTTAGATAGAATTCTCAATTTCTTCTTTCTGTTAGAAAATGGATTTAACATCTCATTTTTTATAAGGTCACAAGGTTTTACGAATTTTTTTTAGAATTTTTGTTCTTAAAATTAAAGTTTTTTTTAACTCACTATCAAACACTCTTTAATAAGAATTAAAAACTTAATTCGCCTCCTTAGCTCTTTCTGTTATATCCATTCTTATTAATATACAGTTGTATTGTATTCTTTGATTATGCACCACATATTTTCCCCTCTATATAAAGAAACTGACGCACTGTTCACGTAAAAGTTGAACGGCGGAAGGAGGGACGGGCCCAGTTCCCTGACTGGGATGATTCCAAGGGCATGGACATACAAGTGAGAGTGCCGCCACACATGTCATTGCTTTTCTTTTTGCTATAATTAGCTCTTCTGGATGCTTCCGTTGGAAGGAAGCCCCGTTCGCCTTGTCGTAGGCATTACCTGCTTCCGTATTCCCTAATTAACAATCATCAACAACGATGATGATGATAACACCGTTTCCCGTATCAGACGCCTCCCACATCATGCATCTCATGTGCCCCATCCCAATTTACCTGCCACTCAGTTTTTTTAATAACTTGTCATTCAACTTTGCCAAAATCTGGTAAACAGAAAAATATGAACATCACTATTCACTAGTTCGCCACGACTAATAATTAATGAATATCACAGGGGAAGCTCAACTACGCGGTGATAACAAATATAGTGACGGAGTATATTCCACGCCAGATCCAGATGCCTCATGGACTCCATGTACTCACCCAACTGCAACCCTCCTTCACCGGTGGAAAGGCCAACACGTATACTTGATAGCGTCTCAAAAGAAAATTATTACTCCCTCCCTCTCTTATTATAAAATCTAATTTTTTAAATAGATTTGTCTCTTTTTATAAAATTCCTTTCAAATTTGTCAGCATATTTAATGTATTATTACCTATTTTACACCTAATTTAATACATTTAATATATCCTCTTTATTTATTTATTTTACTATTACTCTCTCATATCTATCCATTTATATATAAAGGTATATTTGGAAAAAAAATTTGTATTTTGCCACATATTTATTAATTGTTTTTAATTAATTTTAACTGTTTTCTTAAACCATACAATTTAATTAAAATGATCTTAATATTAATTATTTTTAACTATTTTTAACTGTTTTCTTAAATTGCGTAATTTAATTAAAAAGATGGACGGAATAGTACTTCTAATGAAAAGTTACAAATGACTCTTTCTACTTATTTCCAATCCTTTTCTAGCGTGCATGTCCCACCAACTCAGATTAATTCCATGTTTCGCCCACCTGCCATTGAAGCCCTTTATCTCCGAAAATTGGCATCACAACCCCCCCCCCCCAAAAAAAGAAAGGTCAATATTCAATAGATTAGCGGGGATTGCCCAGGTGGGCGTCTCAGCTTATATACAATCCTAGCAACTCCATGACTTCAATCACAAGCTCTCTTCATCCCCGTTTTCTAAAAAATTTCGCCTCTCTAATCAATCAAGAGACCAAATTGACCAATTTCTTCAAGCAGGTATACGTCATTTATTTCTTAGGATGAATAGTTTCTTTGAACAGTATAGTCTTTAGTTCACAACAACATTGTATAATGATTTTTTTTTCTTTTTTAAATTAGAAAGAGAGCTAAACCAGCCATACAGGTCAGACCTGACCTCTCCCAATTTTGAGGGCATCTTTGTCGATAGGACAATGCACCAAGCACATGATGATACGAGACTAAATTGTAATCTTTTTAAAGAAAAAAAGGTAAAAAAAACTTCATCCATGAGATGCCAAAAATACTTGCTCAAAACACCATGAATTATTTTCTTCCAAGCCCAGGAAGCCTATAACTTAAAGCTGCAAAGTCTGGTTGGCCCACAATGGCAGAGGTGCATGGAGAACAGTCTGCATACCGGTAACAGGATGCTCAAAAGACATGCTTTCTGCATGAAGCTGATGGGCATCATAAATTTTATCTCGCCACTCATAGACTCCCTCGTATTTCACATCCCCTTTTATAGAAATCCCAAGATATTGGCAGTGCAGGCGGATCTGATGAGTCCTTCCACTGCGAGGATATGCTCTCACCAGGATCTCATCTTCCATAACATCTCCTCTGACAGCCTTTTGTTCCACAACCACAGTAAAGCCTTCATTGTTTGTAGATTCAAAGGGTTCCTTGAAACTCCCTTTTCCATTTATTGATAATACTTCAAATGAAGTTTCCATGTCTCGGATTACTGATCCACCTGGTAGCGTCCTGCCAACATCTGAAGTAGCATATACCCGCCAGGCACCGAACTTGGACCTCCCGTGACCTGATCTTACAGTGATCTTTCCCCACTGTGGAGCTGAACCAACGCAGAGGGCAATATATGTTTTCCTAACCTTGTGATCAGTGAATGCTTTGACAAGTTTAGCGGCCACTTTGTGGGACTTTGTTATGACCATGACACCACTTGTGTCACGGTCAAGTCGATTGGCAAGATGAAGCTCAGGCTCAGGCACTGGCTCTGGCAAGCTGATTTTAGTTCCTGAAACGAAAATAACCGCCCTCAGTGTTGTCCTAAACAAGAACCACGCGCCTCAAACTTTTACAGTGTTAATACGAGCTGACAAAGAAGCCAGTCTTTCAGCTTGGTTCATAAGTTAACTCGAGCGATATCAAGCATCTGTCCATTTAAAAAAGGCATCCTTAGAAACTGCAATCCGAATTTACTCATAAGTTCAACTAATGTGGATGGGCGTGAGAGAAGAATCTAATCCTTAATTATGCTTTGCTTTCAAAAGCAGTAGAAATTCAGGGGAGTCGTCAAAACTGTCATTTTTCAATGAAAGATCATTATCAATCAAAATTTTACCTCTCGTTCAGTCCTATTTCGGGCCTGAAAAAGGTTCGTATAAAAAGGAATCAGTCGAGGCATTCCAATGCTTTGTGTTAATTAGTTGACCATAATTTTCATTCATTCTTTAAATCCTGGCACTAATTTATTTTAAAGGAAGTCGTTCATAAAAGGGGAAAACCAAACAGGATAAGCATACTAAGAAAACCGGGTCAACTCAAACCCAACAAACAAGTCAAATAGAGCATCCAGGTTACCGCATTCAACAATTGCTCAGAAAGAATAGAGAGACACCTTCTGTGAGTCCATCTGAGGGAGAGGGTAGAGCGAGAGCTGAAGTGAGAGAGGAGAGCACACTCTCGCAGTAAATACCCTGGGGCTTATTAACAGCGAGAAGCCATTCGTCTTCGTATAGAATGTCCGCTCTTGAAAGAGAGAAGAGGCTGGATTTTGAAGAAGCAGACATGGCCCGACTAAGCTCAATTTGCTTTGAGATGGGGGGCAGCTGAGGGGACAGTGGCACGGGGTAATTTTGAGAGGTTATGAGGTCAATTCGGGAATGAGGCGTTGGCTCTGCTTCGTCAACCATGGCTATAGTTGATTTGAGGAAAAGAACAGTTTTGGGAAACCCGGTCGCATGGAACGCCGATTTGGGGTTGAAGAGGAGTCCCGAGCGAAGGGAGGACATGAGTGGCATTTGCGCCACTTCGTTTATGCCGCTGACCCGGATTTTAGTTGTTAGAAATTGTTAAACGGGCCGGGCCCAGTGTCTGGGTCCATCAGCAACACAGTGTTAGAGGTCGCGAGGTGGCGAATTGCTTGTTGATTGTCATGAAAAAAGAAAGGTGTTTGTTGATCCGTTACTTCAAAAAAATAGTTGAACCCTAAAAACGACGTCGCTTTAAAGGCCCAAACGGATGCTTCCCATGTCGTCTTCATCAGGGGGAGAGAGAGAAGCAGAACATAAACAGCACGATAAACCCTGATAAACCCTCTCAAAGCAAAAGCAGCGTGCGCGCGTGTAAAATTTACGATCTAGGAAGTAGAAGTACCCTGGTTGCTCTCTCTTCACTTCGATTTTGGACGAAATGTCCAATTTTATGCGAATTTCGATAAGAAAGTCCAAAGTCGATGCTCAAAGCCGGCGAATTTTGCACCTCTTCTCTTCTGAGTTCTCAGCGTTCCTGAACACATTTGTGGGAAATCCTTCCCACTCGTATCACACTGTCTCTCCTTCAAGCTTGCTCTGGGTTGGGTCAAGGTGTCGCCATTTTTCGCATTCTGTCCCCCAAGAAAATATTCTGATTTCTCGGGGTAGATTTGTAGAGAATATTATCCCCTTTTGTGGTTCAAATTCTCTTCGAAACACCAATTTCTCTCATCGGAGTCACCGGGCTCCGGTCTTTGCCTCACAGATTCGCTTCTGGGGTTCCCAAACGCTTTCAGAACAGTCAACCTCAGATGGGCTAACGGTGGACGGGATTCTAGCGAACAATTGGGCGATTCTAGACGAGAACGAGGGTGATTGGAAGAGTCATGCAGCTGCGGTAGCTCAGTCTATTCATTTGATTAAACGGCGTCTACAGGTGAGGTGTTGAGTAGCGGTAGAGAGACAGAGATTAGTCAATAAGCGTTAGCCTCTGATTACAATGAGTCTCCTTAATATAAAGAGTCACCCTCTAACCTCCCTCACTAACTAACGGCTATTATTATTTATTCCCCAAACTAACTGTTTTAACTATAACTAACCATTATCAACTACTACCTCCGGTCCTTGTTTATAGTTCTTATAATTAGGACCGGAGGCAGTAATATCTTGTGTTAATTACAATTTACTGATCATGAGGAGTCAAATTCAAATCTTCATTCTAGATAACAAGATAGCTCATTTTAGTTTCCTCTGGTGGAAATTTGCTAATAACTCCGTTTCTTGTTTTTTAGTGGTTCTCATCTCACTTAGATCATACTTGGGATGTCATTATCTAATTGAGAGACCATTTTTATATGTCAATGTCAGACGGCTACAACCTGCGTGAAGTAACTTCTCTGTTTGTTTTGGCAGTGGAGAAAATTGATGGTCAGGTTGTATTTCTTATCTGCCGAGCTTAATAAGCAAGACCTTTGGGATGATCCTGTGCATGCAAGTAAAATAAGCCGTGAGCATGGTTCGCTCATAGGAAAAATGAAAGAGGTGAACGCATTGGAGCAAGAACTACTAGAGAATATTGACATGATAAAACTTGCCAGAGAGGAGAATGATGAAGATTTGGAATCGGTGGGCACTAGCTTCTGCTCCTAGGCATGTATTCATCTGCTTTACCGCTGCGGTAGTGCCACTGGAGTCTTGCATGTATTTGTGTCATACTTTATAATCTGAATTATAGTCATATTTTATTCTGTGTACCTAGTATTGTGAAGAAGTAGACAATAATCTAACTAAAAACGTCTAGCCTATGATAGTGATGACTCATTAAGTCATAGCATATAATTGTTAATTTGTAAATAAGTATTATTTTGAAGAAGAAACTAGATAGTGAACATTATATTAGAATGTTGGAGCATTCATTTAATTGAGTTGTCAGTTGAAGAGAACAGGCATCATTGTCTTGAATGTCAAATACAGATGTTGAAGTCTCTTCATACAAGATTTTTTTAAGTGTTGCGTTTCTCACTAGTAAATGCCATTCTTTTTAATCTATATGGAAGTTGCCTCCTTTTGCAGGAATCAATGAAAGCGCTTCTTAAAATGAGAAGAAATTCAAAAGAAAAGGAGCTCGAGGCATTGCTTGCTGGGGAGCAGGATTTATGCTCTTGTTACATTGAGGTTGTTGTTTAACAACATGACAAGTCGTCTTTTTCTATCACCAGCATCAGTTGCTCAAAGAACATGAGCTGCACAGACTAAAATGTGTCCCATTAAAGTTTGTTGTTTTATTTTCTAATAGGTTCAGGCTGGAGCTGGTGGTACTGAGAGTATGGACTGGGCTGCAATGGTCATGCAGATGTACAAGTTTTGGGCCCAGGGACGTGGATACAAAGTAACTGTAGTGGAAGAAATGCCTGGTGAGATTGCAGGAATCAAGGTTCTCCTTCTCACCGTGATTCATGAATTCAAACAAATTTTACACACAGCTGTAGCATGCTTGCAATGATGTCTCAACGCAACTTTTTAAGTAATTATGGTTTATGATTTCGAAAGACTGAGTGTAACTTTTTTTTGAGATGCTCCCAAGATTAACCTGGAGGTTTATTCTATTCTGGGACCACTAATATTTCTCACACTGAGGCCTATAGTCTGTTATCTTCCTTTTACTTAAAATACAATTTATGCTGTTCAGAACTGTTACTGAATTCATTTAATTTGATTTTTCAGCGAGCGACAATTAAAGTAGATGGTGATTATGCCTTTGGATATGCCAAAGCAGAAGTAGGAGTGCATAGGCTGGTGCGAATATCACCTTTTGACAGCAATAAGCGACGGCATACTTCTTTTGCTGCTGTAGCAGTGACCCCAATCCTGGGTGATGCATCTGCTCATGTGCAAATTAATGAATCTGATCTTCGAATTGAACGGTTTCGTTCTGGGGGACCTGGTGGTCAGCATGCTAACACAACAGAAAGTGCTGTAAGAATAGTTCATATTCCTACAGGAATTACTGCTGTTTGTCAGAATGAAAGGTAAGTGATATTTATGCACCCTTATTTAAGCGATGCTTGTTCTTTGCTTACAGAAATGTCATTCGTGCATTTTTTGAGCCTGATTATGATTCACAAACAGGTCACAACATCAGAATAAGGCTTCAGCAATGGCTGTGCTTCAATCTCGGTTAGATCAACTGGAGATGGCACGCCAGGCACAGTTGAATGCTCAGCATACCCAATCTCTCACTGATATAACTTGGGGCAGCCAGATACGCAGTTATGTGCTCCATGTACGGTTTGAGATGGCATCTGCTCTCTATTTTAATTTACATAGCAGAATTTGATAAACTATGCAGTTTGCTTAAATTGTTTCTATATATGGTGCAGCCTTATCGCATGGTGAAAGATCTTAGGACTAATTATGAGGTTTCTGATCCCGATTCTGTGCTTGAGGGGGACCTTGATGGTTTCATTTTGAGCTATTTATCAGCCTGCTTGGATAAAGACGAGGATGGTGCCTGAATCGAGTTCCTTCATTTTGGTGACACCGTCTGCCTTTGTGCATTTAGTGTTGAAACGTGTTATGATTGCGCATTTTCTGAGATGGAGATTTCAGTTGACCTCGGGTTATCACATGACGTAGCGGACAAGGAGCAAGCGTTTTTCTTGGTACTTGCCCTGACTTTTTCCCGACACAAATACTTGCCCTAATTTTACTTATTCATAAATGAATAAAAGCATCCACCTTTCTTTATGAAAGGTTTACAAGAGTCCGCGACTTCCAGCTTTCCTAATGTTGTATCTGCCAAGTTTAAAAGCTTGTTTATTTCACTCAAAAATAAAAAAAAAGCTTGTTTACTATTGGCTAGCATGGCTGTTTATTTTCGGGATTCTTTTCGCCCGGTTTGAACCTTACTTTTTTTGTGGGTCAAGTGAGATGAAACTATTTTTTAAAAAAAGAAAGAAATAACTGGAGTATTTCGGCTCGTTCTTTATGCTTCAGATTCAAAATATTTTAATTTAAATGGACAGTGCGGCAACGTTAAATTAAACTTCGCTATTTGCTTCCTGTATATTAAATATTTGTTTGTCAAATTAATGGAGTTGAGCAAAAATCAATGTTAATTTTTTTAATTGTATCAAGTGAGGTAAATTCTAAGATTAAAATAAAAATTGAAAAATAATTATGAAGACGGATCAATATGAATGTTGTGGCATTATTATAGCGTTTCTCTTAAACCGTAAACACCTCAAAGGAATTACATCCTCAAATACATACATTCTTGTTACAATTGAATTTATATTTAAAAAAATATGCACCGTACGTTTCCGGGGAAAAGAAGAAAACTCAACCAAATACACAGAAGTGATGGGACTCCAAAAATCAGGCTGCATTCCGCAGCACAACAAAGAATTTTATCTCAAAGGCCTTCAAGGTGTGCGACATGATATTATATTTTTCGTAAGAGTACCTTCACTTTCTAACTCTGCTCGTGGCCAAAAGCTAAGTCAAATATCTGCATGTAATCATCAACAAAATGAACATCAAGGCCTTCTTTCACATTAGGCGCCAGCTCGTCATAGTCTCTCCGATTCGCTGAAGGGAACACGATGGTCTTGACCTCACTCCTTCTAGCCGCGATAGTTTTCTCCTTAACCTGTAATTTTTCACAGAATGAGTGTTTCAAATTGAGGGGGGGGAAACACGATAAAGCAACCAACTCAAAATATAGATAGGGAGGGAGTAAAAGCCTCAAGAGAGACTTTCCGTATAACACACTAGTGACAACTTAAACATGTCCAGTTAGTTCCTGAAACAAATCAACATTATGGGCATATTGTATTTCCCAACGTACCCCACCAATTGGGAGGATCTTTCGGTAAGCGTCACCTCCCCAGTCATTGCTAGATCCTTCCTCACGGGCTTCTTCATGGCAAGGGAAAGCAGTGAAGTAATCATGGTGCAACCAGCACTGGGTCCGTCCTTGGGTGTGGACCCAGCGGGAACATGGAGATGAAGCTTTGCATTCGCAAAGAATGAGTTCTCTGGCTCTCTCTCTGCTATTATGCCTCTGGCAACCGTGTGAGCAATCTGAGCACTTTCTTTCATGACATCTCCTAACTGACCAGTGAGATGCAGTGCACCTTTTCCCTCCCCTTCCTCAACGCGAGTAGTCTCTATATACAGTGTGGAACCACCCATTGAAGTCCAAGCAAGACCCATGACAACCCCAATGGGTGTCTGGTCATAGATGCGTTCAGCATGAAAGACAGGTTTGCCAACAAAATCTGCTAAATTGGATTTATCAACCAAGACTTTTTGAACTGTCATTGTTGATTCACTTTCCCGATCTTTCTCACTTTCCTTTTTGTCCTGCGTAAGGCCCATGAAATTCAAATGAGAATCAGTTCCTGTTGAATTATGGAGAAAATATGCTCAATTTCGCAAAAACGTCTTCTGCAGGGATGATCATCATATGAAGCACAAAGCAGCGCATTACCGGTATTATAGTAACAGAAGTGACAACTAACAAGAAAGATATAATTGTATGATTGTCACTTGTCACCAATACCTGGTGGTTCTCCGTTTCTAGCAGAGCCAACTTCATAATTGGCAGATAAATAAAGGAATCCAGTTATGACTCTCTAATTTTTACAGTACCTCTAGGTCCGCAGCTTGATTGGCGGGGCATTCAGAGTGATCGGCTGGTAGTCTGTTTGCTCCTTGTCAACCTCTATAGAGGTTCCACTCGTTTTTTCTTGACCACAATTCTCTCCTAACCTATCCTGAAAATCTACTTTGGCTTCTTTAGGTTCAATATCCTGAGCATCAGCTAGAGGAGGTTCAATTGTTGCTCCCTGCCTCACGAGTTGAAGTGCTATCTGTCATGAGATTACAGAAAATCTAATATCAGATATGGTCAGGACTGAAGGCCCCAAGTCTATCAATGAAGAGAAGAATGACTCCAACGAACAAAGCTACAAAAACATTCATGACATGCGTGACATGGTAATATCGACAAGTTTGACAATATTGACCTAAACAAAATTTAGACCTTCGGTATATTTTCTCAATGTGCTTTTGGAGATTCCTGACCCCTGCTTCCCGG